CTAGTAGCTTCTTGTTACTAGTAGTACGGCCAGGAGCCCCTAGTAGCGTCCTTGCTCCTAATGTGTTTGCGTTTCAGAAATAATCTTGATGCATCTTGCTAGAAAAGCAGATAGGTCCCCAAACCCAAGCCTCATGGCATGAAAGACTTTGTTTCACGAACCAGTCCTGGTGCTCTGGCATTTTGGAAAACGGGTATGGCGGTTATGCTGAAAGTACATCCTCGCCTTTGGTCCTCCAGCTACATGAAGATGTTATCTTTTGAGGTACACCAAAATTTGCTGCGAGCCCTGTCAGAGCAACAAATCCCCTCGGGCTGCCATGACTCTGTCTCCTTCCACATCAACCCATGCCGAGGCATATGCCGCAGCCAGCGGAAAGTGGACTCTCCCAAGTCCTGCTTGGCATCTTCCCACTTCAAAGCAGTGCTCACTGTGTTTCCTTAAGCAAAGTCAGGATGCGTCATATCATATACCGACTATAAACAACCTTACTGTGACAGGCGGTCTTGATACGGCACCCAAAGCTGCACAGGCGGTCCCCCGAGAGCTTCTCCACATCATCGGCAGAGCGCATTTTGTCGAAGCACGCTACCCGATCACAGCAAGGCACTGTTCAAGCTTGCTTCATCAACCCTCATTTCCACCAAGCGGAACAGGGTGAAACATGATCGTATGCTTTGCTCAGTGTGACAATGTGTAATTCTCCGACTCTGTTGCAATGCTTGATTTCAAGATTCAGTTGTGCTGCTTGGCAGCTAAAAGTACCTGCCACAACCAATAGAGCAATATTGGTGAAACAGGCTGGTACAAAATATCGCGCGGCCGGGCCGGCTACAACCTTACAGACTCAAGTCTCTTGCTGCAAGTGAAAGACTCATGAGGGGTTATTTGAACACCGCAGATTCTGTCTTGCCGCTTGGATCTGCTTTGAAAGTCTCTGAAACGACCCCGAAGCCGCGAAGCAAAGCCTCTGTCATCTCGAGAGCATCGACCTTGCTGGTGAAACCAACCACTTTAAATCAAGAACTGAGATGTGGAAAGGAAAAATACTTGAAAAATATACGAAAGGGCACAGGTGGCAAAAGTAATATGTGTTCTTATAGTTATTAAGTGCTGTTGAGGTTTCAGCGCTATATCGCCACTGGCATGAAGGGTTGCGTATTTATGCAAACTACAGTGGTAGGTGTTCACTTCCTTCCTTTAGGTCACGCCGCCGTGTTTATCTCAAAAGGCCACGATGGATCTGCCTCGGTGTTCCACTCAACGGAGACAGGGGACCGTTCTTGAGTCACGAATGAACCCTCCATTTTGTTACACAAAAGTCTCTATCTAGTTTATTGGGAATTCAAAACGTCAACATCCCAGTTTGTCGTGTATTCGATAGTACTGAGCACAAAAAAATCAATTGCTACGCTGCTCCCCCTTGTTCTTGCCAGTGCATCCAGCGTGCATCCTCAAGGATGGCAACGAACATCTCCTGCCTCACACAGGGAAACTCATTGGCGTTTATGCTATTGCATGAACCATTTGGACCCACCCTAAACTTGTCGTTTGGACATAGTTTCAATCGTATCCCGCTCGCGTTCTTGACTTTAAACGGCGCTCAAAGCTTCCATCCAACTCCCTCGGACCTCCAAGAATCCATTTGTCCATGGCGTCGGAAATTTCTAATTGTCAGATTCGCAAATGGTGTCACAAAAAAGTCTGTTTTGTAACTGCACGGTCTAAAGTCTATATGTGTTCATCCTTCATGAGTTTCACCTGTTCCAAGGAAGCATTACAGAACAATTTTGGCATGTCATGTGTTAAAACAAGGGTGCGCGGAACGCACAACACAACAGAAAATATTTTTTAACAATAGCAACACAAACAGTTTCAGCAAAAAATTGGACCTCTAGTGAAACAAGTGCATTTCTTGTTCCATGTTTGTGGAGCGCGGTGCGACAAAGGCTAAGCCAACAGTTCATGAAAAAAACAAAACGCGCTCCCTCTTTCACTTTCACTTTCAAGCGCACGGTGCCGTAAAGCGCAGCGCCTTGGCTACAAATTCTCAAATTGGCATGCAGCTGGCTCAAAATCTGGTCCGAAGATATCACGGCTATCTTCTTCCGTGACGATGAGCTCCTTCACCCATTCAGTCACTTCGTCAAAACTCCGGACCGGACAGTGAGCATGTGCATTGATCCATTCTTGGAACAATGCGGCAATGAGGGCACACAGCTGGGCCGTGTATTCTTTCAGCCCGCTTGTGTTCCATCCCTTGGGGCCTAGACCGATGCTACCGCTTCGCGGAAGCTCGGATGTTCTGTAGGCAACTTCAAGTTGACGGGCAGTCGCTTGAGGGATTCCTGAAAGCAAGAAGGTTGTCGGCTTCGGGCTTTTGGCATGAAAGAAGCCCTGTTGGAGTGTGAGCAAGCTAAAAAGCTTCGTGTCACGGCACCAGCGAACTGCTTGAGTGTTCCAGGCCGAAGGAGCATCGGGATGGTCACATCTAAACCTCACAGGGTCTTCTGGATGTTCCATGAGGGCGAAACCCCTTGGATTGCCTGTGCCAACATAATTTGCAACGTGAAACCCATAAGTGAACTGCCTGTTTCACATTGTAAGAATTCTTTTGCGGTTAGATCTTTCATGCCCCACGGCTGCTCTCGTGTCCTTAGTGGTCGAGGGTGTCTTCGATCACTTTGGCCGGATGGGAGAGCAGACCAGGCGATGGACCAGGTTTCGCACGGAGGGCCCGCGATGACTGCGGCGATAGCGCCGTCAAGAGCGAGCTTGAGCCATTGAGTCTGCTGCTCGGTCCTGAGTAAATTGCATTTGGCCTGCGACACGACGACATCCACAGAAACTACAAGTATGGTGGCGCCGTCCGGTGCTGGGAGGCTCTCGAATGCATTCTGTACATCACCGGGACGTCGTCTCCCGCTGAAGAGATGCAAACAAATCATCTGTCGTGGCAAAAACTCTCTGAATCTCGGTCCGGCAGATCGGATTTGGGCTTCTGATCGGTCAGCTTCAGTTTGCCGTACCGAGATGTCAGGGCTTGTCAGACTAAGCCTTTTCTCGCAGTCCACAAACCAGTCATCAATTTGGCTGAGTGCATGGGTGAGCTTGGGATCTTTCGAGTTTCGATACTCTGCCGCCCACTCACTGAAACACTCGACAATATCTGCAAGATGCATAACACGAGTGCAAACTGCTTTGAGTGACTCAAAAAGAACCTGTGTGAAAGTTGGGTCATCCGTGTCAACTGAAAAGCATCGAATGCATTGTTCCAGTTCATTAGTCAGGTCAAAAAAGTCACGGTGAACCGGCACTGGCGGCTCTTCCTGTTCGGCTCCAGTATATCTCCAAGGCGCTTGCGGGTGCTCCTCAGTTAGAGGTCCCGGCGGTAGTGGCTTTTGCCACATCTGAGTGCAGCAGGCCGGGCTGTACCTTAGGTGCGCCATGAGGGAGATTCGGGATGTGTACTCCTTTGCACATACGAAACATTTTTGCCCCTCTGCAACTTGCCCATGCATGGACAAGTAGGAATGCTTGATGTGTGCATGGAGAAACCAGGCCCTCTTAGATCCGAAACCCTGTTCGCATAAGAGGCATGGATTTGCTTGCGGACTCGGCTTTGGCAGTGTTACAACTAATCCTTCTTTATCAAGCATCTGGTAGAGTCGTTGGTGCCAGTACTGCTGCTTGTTTTCCGCAGTCTGATGTGCAACCGCCCGCCTAAGTGCCCTTTTGATGGCAGCTTTCCATGCTCCAGGTTTCTCGTTGATGAAGGTTGTTACATCAGCCAGAGACCCGAAATCTGGCATGTGGGCATCACGTTCCGTCATGGATCGAAGCCATTTCAGTGACTCTTCAAGACCTTTGACGGCAATCTTGTCCATTCTGAAAAGGGTCCAGACGGGCATGGGCGCTTTGTTCACTAGCAGTTGAAAATGTCGGACTCGCGCAGCATGCAGGAGACACGTCGGGTGTGGAAGCTGGATTACATCCAGCACTTCCGCATGCGAAAGGTGCGGTTTATTTGCTCGGAAGCTCTTTGGCAGCAAAAATGCGTATAGCTCCCAGCAATATGTTTGATATCTGTGTTCTTCTTGTTGATTGAGGCTGGGCCAGCATCCAGCTCCCCAGAGAAAGGATGCCATCACTGTAGCTTGAAAAAGCTGGCACCTGGCTTCTTTGGTGAGTCTTTCATTTCTGAAAACTGTCTTGGCAGCTCGCCAGTAGGAAGATCTGGCCCGGCTCATTCTTGCTTTGATTTCTGTCAACAGATCGCCTTTGGCAGTAAGTTGTCCTCCAAGATGCTTGTAACAGGAAACCAGAGGCACTTGGACTGTCTGCTCTTCTCGGACAACAGGTAAATTTGCTTCTTTCTTCTTGAAGAGCTGTCGCCTTATGGAGATGGCTCCTGCTCCCCGAGGGGTGGCGATGGCCGCGGTTTTGGCCTTTCCTATGTGTGCCTGCATGCCTCTCATCTCCAGGGCCCGTAGAAGGTGGTCTATCACGACCGGCAAGTGTTTCACCAGTGCCTGTGGAGTTTCAAAGATCATCGGTATGGCCAAATCATCTGCCCAGGTCACATGTGCTAGTGGTTTGCCATTGTCGAGCATGGGTGAATCCAGCACCTTGTCTTGGCATTCTGGGAGAGGCATCCAAATAGGAAGGTGCGCAAGTTCCTCTTGGAGCTGCACCAGCAAGGCATGGAATGTGACGTTGAATACGATGTCTGCCCAACTATCTCCTGGCCTCGTACCCCTTGACGTCTGGGTGAAATCTTCTTCAAATAGGGTGAACCATGTGTCAGAGAGGCTCTCCCGGAGCAGTGCTTGCTGATGTGGGCTGGCTCCGATGTTTGCATAGGCATGCACACCGGACATTGCTTGCGCTAATGTACTCATAACTTCGGGACCTAGCCCAAGACGAGCAACAATCTTTGCCACATCTTCATCAGATGTCGTCGCACCCACCGAGATTTCCCGTAATAACATGTAGTAGGCAGCCTTGATATCACAGAACAGGATAGCAGAACTGTAACCACGTTGCTTAGCAATGGCGTGGAAACTTCGCACTGCTTGTGCCCCGAAAGTCACTGAGATACCCGGTTTGCCCGCCAGTTGCAACTCATCAGGACATGCAACATAGGGCTCGTTGACGTGTTTCCTCATGGCCGATCTCACGATCTTCCCAGCATTGGCCATCAGAAGAATTCCACGAAAACTTTCACAGTTGGAGTGCTGGCCTTTGCCCTTGTACAAACTGACTAGTTGTCCGCCTTTAAACTGTAGCGGTTCTTCAAGCCGAGTTGCGAACTTCATGGCCAGAGGCCATAGCACCTTAGCTGCGAGGCTAGGGTTACTTCGGAAAAGCTCATTTGGGAGGGCGTCTGGGCCAGGCGCTCTCTGAGTTTTGGTTCTCTTGATTGCTTCTTCAATCATGTGCAGTGTGGGTAACTGGTCAAGATCAAAATGGAGCGCAAGCCGCTAACGGTTCTGGCGTTCCAAAGCTGACTTGACGAACTGTTCTGGTTCGACAGTGAATCCTGCTTCGAGGTCTCGAAAATGCTGAATCCACCTTTGTTGATATTCATCTCGTGTTTTGGTCACCTCCCCATCCAGGCTTTGCACTTGCGGGATCGCCCGCC